TGAGTGCAATTTGTTTACCATCAGTTAGTCAAGTAACATTATCAGCTAGTGAATGGCCGCCAGTTGGAACAAATGTAAGTGTTTTCTCGTCTTCAAAATTGATTTAAGATATTTATTACTAGGTTATAGCAGTTGGATGGGGTAGATTGAGGGAAAATGGTTCATCACCGTCAATACTTCAGCAAGTTACTGTACAAACAATAGATTATCAAGCATCAACTTGTACTCCAATTATGGTTGATTGGCATGTACAATTTTGTGCTGGTGTGTCAGGTGGTGGCAAAGGTAACTTTATGTGGTTGTTTCTCTTTCTTTTGTAGGTTTTTTTTTTATCTTCACCTTTGTAGATACTTGTCAAGGTGATTCAGGTGGTCCATTGATGATGTTTAGCTCAAACAATCAATGGGTATTGGTTGGTGTGACAAGTAATGGTGTTGGATGTGCACAAGCTGCACATTCGGGTATGTATACCCGAGTAGCTGCTTATGAAAGTTGGTTAAACGCGAATACGAATGATTTCACTTCAAATTCAACTTCATTGATGTCTACCAACTCACCTAGCTCTATCGAGACAACGATTACAGCGAATTCAGTACCTCAGACTCATTTACATGCGAGTACAGTTGCAGCGTCAGTTTTCAATGTTTTTGTCTTTGTATTAATCGCTTTACTCGTTGGATCTTTCTATTGAATAGAAATGTAAAGTTTTCTATAATATATTTCATCTTTTTCTCATTCTAACTACAACTAATGCAGCTTGAAAATTATTTTACAATTACATAGGATGATCTAAAAGTTCCTGGAACATCTATGTTCTTATTAAATAGATGCTACTTTCAAAAATCTTATTTCACTAAATATTCAAGACACTCGCTCCTATTTGTCATACGAAGTCTCATTCAATTAACTCAATTGTTACATATCTTTTTAAATCGAAAATGCGTTATGGCACACAGCTCCTTGGTTACAGCTTTTGTTAAAGATTTACAATTGGAATCACTGCCTAATTGAGGGCAAAGATGAATTTGGATGGCTGAGCGACAATGGCTAAGAAAGAGGAACTCAGAATGTATGAAAATAGATAGTTGACGGTTCTTAATACTAATCTTACACATGCATCCACTATCATATTCTCATGCCAACTCACTCTTACGTTCACCCCCAATCACTCATTCTCCGATCAGCACCGCCTTAATTCTCACACACTTGCTCACCATCACATCCTTACTTGTTCTGATTGTCAGCTACCTATTTCCGCTCATTCTGAGTCCTTCTTTCTTAGCTATTGTCGCTTATCCATCCAAATTCATCTTCGCCCTCAATTAGGCAGTGATTCCGATTGTAAATCTTTAACAAAAGCTGTAACTAAGAGGCTGTATGTCATAACATATGTTCGATTTTAAAAGATATGTAACGATTGAGTTAATTGAATCAGACTTCGTACGACAAATAAGAGCGAGTGTCTTGAATATTTAGTGAAATAAAATTTTTAACACTAGCATCTATTTAATAAGAACAAAGATGTTTCAGAAACGTTTGGATCACCCTATGTACATGTTCATATTTGTTATTCTTAGCGATCACATCTGATTTGAAAACGTAAGAGAGATCACTCCTTCCACTACACATATTTTTTCTTGTTCCTTACATTCAAAGATATAGTAAAGCGAAATATAACAATTCATATTTTAAGTCATTGGCATCGTACCTATTTCAATAATAAGAGTAAATGTCCTTTTTTTTGTCAATAACTAAGATTCTTTTGAATGAATATTATCATGCACATTTTATTATCAATAATAATAAAAAATAACGCATGTACGGCGAAAGAAAATGAACATTGAAGTTGAATTCTACATGTTCAGTGTGGTTTTTAATGTCACGAATAATATTATCGAACTCACAAACACTATCTCGGGATGACATGGAGAGAAATAAAAACGCGTCGTGATTTCCGATACAATGCGCAATACGTTCAGAAAGCGTGGTTCGAACCTATCAAATAGTTCATTTATTATTTTTTTCTGCAAAACCATGTTATGATATTTTTTCAATTTATTTTCATTTTAATTGTTCCTATCCCAAATAATTAAAGCAAGTCAGATCTTGGAATCTGTTTGATCTTGAGATGATTCGATCTCCATCAGACTGCTTCAGGGTAGTCCTCTCTCAATCATCGATCGAGATTAGCATGTTCTCGAATGATAAACACTTGAGAAATAGTTTTTAAAAAAAACTATGTTGAAAATGTATGTTTTTTATGTTCAATCACGTTGTTTATATATGGCTCTATCTACATTAAAAAAACGGTGAATGACTAGTCAGCATGTAAACACTAATGATATCGCTCTTTTACTCAAGATCTTGCGAGAAGATAATAGTAAACAATATCTTTTCTATGATCTTGACAAGATCTTAAGTACAGATTTATCTGATACAACCAAGATATTCACGTACAAATTGTCTTTTCAAGGTCATATGAAGATCCTGCTTATCGGTCCCAAGATTTCAAAATCTTGCTTACAAGATGTTCGACTACGGTAGTCCATTCGACCAATGGCTCCCAACTTGATTGAAAACATGAAGTTATCACTCCAATGTTGAATGATAACTACTACATATAATTGAGTGCAGAATATTTGAACTTTTTCTAATAACAATAATTGAGTATTATAATGCAAAATTTAGACGATGTATTCACAGAAAATTCACGCTTTTATCTTTACGCCAGAAAAATTTCAAGGAGGTTCCTATTATTTTCTTATCGTAATTTTTTGATCTTTTTTTACAATCATTTGATCAAGAGCGTAAAATAAAAATGTAGTGATTTTGTCTGATGCTTTGTCACATATTCAAAATATTGATCACTGTCTTAAGTGTCTGAAATTCCATCATGTAAACAAATTATACGCATTTCATTTAGGTTGATAACTAATGTATGGAAAACTTAGATGACTTGCACAACATGGCTGATTAATACTATGATGGATGTAGTAGGGACAAACTATGACAACCATTTTCAATAGTTTCTCTTATATACTCTATAAACTTTGTTTACTCTGCAAGTTATGCACTCATCTAATAGTTTATTTTTCTAGCAGGATTAATCCTAATAATTGTTCATTTAATACAAATATGATTCAGTTTTGTAAGATTATGATGATATTTTGTAAAATTAGAAAAAAAATTGTACGATCAATTTGACAAGATTTTATGTTACTTTCTTCTTGTTGAGATCATCTAATCAGATCTTATTAATGGTGAACAACATTTAGTATTGATTTTCTTCTTTTTCAAAAATTATTCATGAACTTCAAGACAATTATAGATTCGTTTCATTTTCATAAACTTCAAGTATCGTTTTGCATAAAGGCATGGTTAAAAAATATTTATCGAAAAAACCATTCGAACAATCTGCATGTGGATAGACTTGATACGCTTTCTATTCGATATTTTTATTTCGCTGTCATATGTTACATTCGAAAATTAAACTGAGAAAAAACAATTATTTATTGTGTATTTATGTATAATATTTCACTTGTCATGTATTTGTCGTAAAGTGCAAACATACTAGCATATAGATGACATCTATAACATAAAATAAATTTTCGTTAGTTAATGATTGCACTTGTAAAACAAAATATGAATTGATTTTAGAATTCAATAATAGTGATTTATTAATATTTTATCATGAATCAGCTCATTGACTGTTACAAACTGGTACTGTAGTTCAATGAGTATCAATTATATTTTTGTTAAGATGTTGTTAAAATTATTAAAAAATATCGATCAATCAACACAAAGAAACATATCAAACTTTGATTCATATGAAAAAGGAATAAATATAAAACACAATGAAAAACTTATCATGATATTGTATATAACTTCTACATTTAAATATGGTTGTCATTTGTTCTTTTCAGACATTCGATTAAATGAAATAGCAATATAAAGATAAAATACTGTCGAAATGTTATTTTCAATAATAATATTATTCAATCTCATTTGACCAAGTTTTCAAGTTGTTTATTCATGTAATTCTAAAGCTGTATGTGGATGTTCATTCAATACAGTATCCATGATTCGTATCGTAGGTGAAGAAAATGCTAGCGAGGCAAGTTGGGGATGGGCTGTTTCAATCTCTATAAATGAGACTTTTCTATGTGGTGGATCAATTTTATCAAGATCACGGATTATCATAGCAGCACATTGTGTAGAAGATTTCACAGCATCTCAATTTATTATCTATGTCGGATCGATTCTTCTATGGTTGAGTACTCAAAATCGAAGTGTATCACAGATAATTGCTCATCCTAACTATGACTCAGTCACTTATACAAATGACATTGCTCTCTTACGACTTGCTTCTCTATTGGTAATGAATGATCCCAACGTGAGTCTGATATGTGTACCATCAATTAATTCAGCAATATTAGCATCTAGTGAATTTTCAACAAATGGAATAACTGTGCAGTGTTGACTTTCTTAATAATTCATACTTAATATTTGTTAATAGGTTATAGGAATTGGATGGGGTAGGCTCTTCGAAAATAGTCAAGTTGCCACAACTCTACAACAAGTCACTTTAACAACTATAGATTATCAATCATTAACTTGTAGATCATTGATAATTGATCAGAACATACAATTTTGTGCTAGGGTATCTAGTGGTGGCAAAGATTAGTATTCCAATTTTTACCTTTTTTCTTTTATGTTTTAGGATATCGAGTATCTTTATCATTCGACATATGTCAAGGTGATTCAGATGGTCCGCTCATGATGTTCACTTCGAGTAATCAATGGATGTTAGTTGAAGTCTTGGTCATGGTTGTGCTCGACCATCATATGCTGGTGTTTATACTCGTGTAGCTCCTTATGAAAGTTGTATAAGATCAAATACAACTAACTCTTATTATTTTGTGATACTTTCACATGCGCATTCAACGAAACCATCAATTTATCATTTATATTATTTTTCGTATTGCTTATCTTTCCTGTTAAATTACACTTCTGAATGGAAATAGAATTTAAGAGTACCTTCCTCCTTCCGAAGTTTCTGAAGAACAGTTCATCAGAAAAATTTAAAACTTTCAAGGTAGATAGATCTTGAAGAGTAGAGCAAAAGTTGTGCTAAACTCAAAGTTCCTAAATGCTGTCTTGTATGAGATATTAGGCCCAAAATTGATCAAAATGACTCAACTTTTCGCTCCCCTCCCTTCCCATTTCTCCTGCGTAGTAAGTCCGATCGAGCTGAAACTTTTTTACAGGTACTAGACACTGTTTGAGGTGGATCTTTTTTTTTGGTTTCTCTTTATGTTTTATCCTTCGAATAGAAAAGTCAAAATACCGAAGGCATCCTAAAAAATGCATGATTTTTTTGAATAGTGCATTTTGTTGTAAGAGCTGCCAAAAATCAATAAAACGATATGTTTTGAAGCAAAAAAAAAAATACCCCACTCTAAACAGTGTCTAATATATGTGAAAAAAAATTTCAGCTCGATCGAACTTACTACGTCGGAGAAACGGAGGCGTTTCTGCACTTTTTTACATAAAAAAATTGTTTTGAGATAAACGTGAAACAAATTGCAGTTTTCGCTTTTTTCGTTATATAAATTTGATTTCTTCTCTAATATTTTATAGGTTACAGAGAATATTCGGATCCCAAAATATAGTCAGTATATAGATACCACTTAAGGCTATACAACGACCACAAAAAATCAGAAATCAAAAACCCAAAAATTTTGGGTTAGGAAAGGGGAAATATCCTTAACTCAATTTATTTTTATTGATATACTTCGAAAATACTCTTTTATTGAGAATGTTAATTTGATTGCATCGTTAATATTTTCTCTTTCTGCTGTGTTTTTTTTTGAAATTTAAAGAATGAAAATATTCATAATTTTTTTTGTGAACTATATCCTATGTGTTATATAAAATAGTTTCAGTCTTGTATGCTATCGTTATTTCTCTTGTGTATGGTCTTATTCCTCGATACTTAGAGGAATGAAGAAACATTCAGCTCATTTACAATCACTTTAATCTATGAATTTTATACCGATTATTGAAATTTCATTGAAAACCTACTATTTCAATGTGTTAAATCGTACCTACTGAAAACATTGAAACTTTTAATAACAACAATGCATGAGCACTGCGATACTATTGTAAAAGTCGCAACTATGCTCATTTGATTATAAGAATTCTATTGAGTATTTGAAAATGAATCTTTTTATTGCTGATTCTTTTAATAATACATCTTTTAGCGACTTATCGATAACAAATACATGTTTATTTGCCTTTTTCATGGATAAATATTCACTGACCAGATCTACTGATGAGTGTATTTTTCAATCAATTGATTAGTTTCATTTGACATGTTTGTTTTGTTTCTAATAGAATTTGTCATATTTGATAAGTACGAGAAGATTTTTTTATAAACGAATTATCCAATCGAAACAATTTTGTTCTTGCATGGTTTATCAGAAGAAGCAGTAATACTAACAGAGAAAATATCATAGTTAGTCAGTTGGCATTCTCATATTGTTCCATTCAAACTATAATGGTCCTCCATTTAACAATGATCTGCTATGGAAGTACATTTTAAAAACGAAATCGTTTCTTTTCTATTACAGAAATTCTGACTTCAATAGCTTTCATTTCAGCTTTCAAAAATATTCAAATTTTATCTAATGTAAAGAGTAGAAATCTAAATAATGAAAGAAAACAAAAAAAAATTATGTTTACTTTTCATATTTTTGCTAACGATGTTTTTTCATCTCTCACTTATCAGGTTATTGCTTCATTCATACGAACATTTTGTTTAGAATTCATGATTTAGAGAGAAAAACTGTGGTTTTTTTTGCTATAGATTTAATCTTTCTCTGGTTTTTTTGTTCTGTCCAAAACAAAAAATAAAAATGTTCATTCTTAGACAAAATGATGAAAAAAGTCGCTATCGTGATTTTGTTTCTGTTTGTCGACTTCCCAGCAATATCAATCAAAATTTAAAGATGAAGGAAACAGAACGTTATTCATGGCGGCGCACTTCTTTTTCGAACTTCATTTGTTAAGTTATTCAAGTTACCCACGTAAAACAAATAGAACTTAATCGTCTGAATTTTCGAGTAGGAAGGAAGTGGCAGACATATATATATAGCATGACTTTTTCAAAGTAGTGTAAATAAAATTTGAGAAAGTTTGAAGCAGAAAGATGAAAATATTTAAAAGAAAGATCAGAAGAGTATAATAACTTGATAGGTTTAAATATGATTCATTTCAGATTTTTATATTTGATCAATTGAATCATTCAAAATGACACAATATGGTCAGATTCTACGATACTCTATAGTAGTTTTACTTAGTATCATCAGATTAAGTCATCAAACTGTTTATACATGTACGGCAAGTGCATCATGTGGTTGTTCAACGAATTCTGCAACAGTAAGTCGTATTGTTGGTGGAGAAACTGCAAGTCCAGCTACATGGAGTTGGACTGTCTCAATCTCTATTGCTGGTAGGTCTCTTTGTGGTGGATCAATCTTATCAAGTTCATGGATTATCACAGCAGCACATTGTGTAAATAGTCGAATACCATCACAAATTACTATTTATGCTGGATCAATTACTCGATTGTCGGGAACTCAAATTCGAAGTGTATCAAAGATTGTTGTACATTCTAGCTATAGCTCGACCACCTATGTGAATGATATTGCTCTGTTGAAACTTACCTCTCCATTGATAATGACTGATCCTTATGTGAGTGCAATTTGTTTA